GAGTATTACTTATGTAGGAAACACAAGTGGAAACAAATAAAAATTGGTATATATTTTAGAATATTTTGGAAATTTTTAGTTGGCACGATTTTGAATATTTTGAGAATTGTAAATTTTAATTTATATTTCAATAATTGAATTTCATTTTTTCTCAAATTCTTTTCCTTATTAAACAATATTTATGTTTTTTGTTTGTTAATTAAATATTCATTTAATTTTAATTATTTTTTAATTTAATATTTATTAACACAATTAGTTGTTTTTGATAGAGAACCTCATGATGGAACGTAACTTGTATATAAATATCTTAAAAATTTTTATTTTACTGGAATACAAACACAAATTAATAAAAATTTTAAAATATTTTTATATATATTCGGCACTAATTAAATTTATTTTGATAATAAATTATTTATTTGTCTAAGAATCGATTAAATTTTAATCTTGTATTGATATATAAAATGTTTTCAAGGAATTTATAATAATCTGCTGGACATTTTAGCCTTTGAATTGAACTGTTCGTATCAATTTAATATTAACAGCTAATAAACAAGTGTTATATAAATACAAATATATATATATATATATATATATATATATATAAAGGATTCATTGAACTCTCATTCAATAAGTGAGATGATAATACATGCGGGTATTAAATCATATTTATCCTGTCTGATACATCTTCTTTGAATTCAAATTAAATTAAAAATTTAATATGTAAATATATATATTATATATATATATATATATATATATATATATATTCCATCCTTATTTGTAGTTGCTTCTAACGTAGGAACCCTTACAAATAAATTATAATTAAAATTACTGATCCTTATTTTTTTACTAATGCAAAAATGTAAATTTTTTCCACAAATTTTATCAAAATTTTAAAAAAATACAGATACAAGTTTTTCAAATGATTTATATGCACCATATATTTTAAAAAACTAAAATTTGTAGTTTTTACAATTCTTAAGAAGAAAATACTTGTATTATGAATTTTCACAGGTTACCGTTTATCTCCCAATAGCAAAGTCATAAGAATCAAGGTTATAGATACATCTTTTTCCCTCTACTTTCAAATATTGGTGTTAAACAATGCTTAACTTTACTGATTTTTGACACATCGGTGGTGGACCTTTTTAACTTCGGACCTTCATATATTACTATCTATTTTGCAATAAATTCTGGGGAATTATGGTATACCTGGGAAAATGTTATTCGACAAAATGTCGCTTTGATCGATACCAAATTTAGTTTCTGAATTTAAATAACATAAATAAAAAATAATATAACCTAGAAAATGTTTTATAAATACCAATGAGTATATAATTATACAAATGAGATCGTTCAGAGCACCGTGTTTGAGAAAAATGTGCCAAAAAAGTGCATTTCATATTAACATTTCAAAAAAGTTGATATTTCGAGTTTCTAGTAACACTTGCGGCCCGTTTAATAACGTTTTTGTGTATAAATAAAACTACAAACAAAACTACTTACTATAATTTAATTATAATTAAATAATATTCACGTAAAACATCCTATTAAACGTAATTGACTATCATCTGTCAAAAAGTTTGACATTTGACGTATTAGCCACCGTCCATTGTTTTATTTAAATTACGCTTCTACAAAAATTTTCAAATTAAAAATGTAAAGTTTCATCGCATAAACTTATTATGCGTTTTTGAAATAATATCTCACTTTTCCGACCATCTCTGGATTGGCACGAATTTTTCAAGACTAAGATTGGCCAAATCGGTTTAGCCGTTTTCGAGTTTTACCGAATCATTTGATCGAGAGCTCCATTTTTATATATAAGATATATATATATATATATATATATATATATAAATTTATATTTACTTTTAGGAAGAAGACACCTTACCCATAGAATTCGTAGAGATGCAAAACGGCGGCCGAAAGGGCGACAAATCGGCGGCGTTCTCTTGGCACCTGGCGGTTGCTGTCTTTGCTGCCGTTATTGGTTCCGGTTTCCAACACGGCTACAACACAGGGGTCGTCAATGCACCCCAACAGGTACTAAATATAATGTAGAAATTAACGATTAAATATTTGTAAAAAAGTAATAGATAAATCTTTTGATATTTACACTAACATATCTTTTTACCAGTTTTTGTTTATATATATTTGTTTATATATTTGTAATTTTTTGATTAAAGTCACGTTCAGAGTGTGTAAAGAAGTTTTACTTATAAAAAAACAGTATTGTGAAATACGTTTTTTATATATTTAAGTAATTATAAAAATCTAACCAACTTACACGAATAATTAAAATTCTAACTAGTGGGGCTAATTATCGTGCCTTAAGGCAAATTGCTGGAACTTCCCGTACCGTAATGAAATATTCGAGAAATTTTAAACATATTATTACAAATATATTATTACAAATACTGTAACTTTCATTATTTTTGCTATCTTGTTGTATCTGAGCAAATCAAAGGTAAATCATAAATAAATCAATTTATCTCCA